CTCAAAAGAGGAGGAATATCTAAAAGAATAAAATATGCTTACTTGCTCGAGAAATAAATTTAAAAATATAACCTATCAACCACCTTTAGTGGAGACCACTAGCTGTACCTACCTCAATTCTGTACTTTTCCCCCCAGCTTTTCCTGGGCACGTGACTACCTGGAATGAAAGCTATATTTTCCATCTTTCTTTGCTATTTACAAGTAAGGCATTATGACTAAATTTGGCCAATGATACTTCAATAGAAGTATTGGGTACAACTTCTGGGAAATTTCTTTAGACAGGGAATGTAACTTTCTCACTGCCCTCCTTGCTGGCCAGAGTGCTGCTGTGAGGGCTAGAGCTTTACCAGCAACCTTGGATCAAGGGTTGAATGCCAAGTGCTGAGGTTGGTAGACTAATACAGCAACTTGAAATACTTACCTCTGGAATTCTTTTATGTGAGAGGAAAAAAAAATTCTCTGTTTTTTTTAAGCCTCTGGTATTTGGGGTTTTAGTTTTATGCTGCTGAACCTAATCTTAAGTGATACACTTTTCAATTGCTGGCATATTAATCCTTTATTAGAAATTGTAAATGAGAAATTATATCAACACCTGAGGACCAAACTACAACAGAATATTCCATAGGCTCAAGATTTTGAGACATTCTGGAAAGAGTTTTCTGTAAGGTATATCCTTTCCGTGGCATGGCAACATCATCGTTCTTTAAAAAGGTGACTGGACAGACATCATTTCCACCATCACCAATATAAACAATTTGTGTATAATTCACTCCCTGTTGTAACTGTTTATCTACAAATTCTATCAAAACTACCTTTTTGCAAAGATTCTTTGGGCATCTATTGCAAGAATGAGTATGATAATTTTCCACAGTGAGATGACCACTGCTATTAAAAGCTGCTGGATTTGTAAACACTTTATCAAATACATCATGAAAACTGGCAGCTTTTAAAACCCAATCTATGAAGACCGAATTTGAATCTGAAATAATAATGCAGTCAAATTTATCCTTATTCTTTCTTATAAAGTTGAAGAGTTCCACCATCCCTGGAGTGAAAGGCAATGATGTCACTGCTCTTTTCATTTCATGTTCTCTTACACCTTTATCTCCCAAATACTTAAAGACTCTGCCCATAAATTCTGTCCAAAATCCTTTTTGATAAGAATCACGTAGTTCAATAGGAAGTTTTTTGTTGGGAGCACATTGTACAATCCAAGTGTCACTATTGTCATCTATGATCGTATTGTCAAAGTCAAAAACTAGCAAAATTTTCATGGTTCCAGAAGTAGATTTGGATTATCCTGAAAAAGAAAAAATATTATTCTCTAAACAAACTCTGTTTACATATCTAACTAAAACACTTATTTAATAAACATAACTAAATGTTAATATGTTAAAAGAAGGAATATAAACAAAGTGATTAAGCACTTTGAGACCACTACCTAACCACTTTTCTCTAAGAAGCAAAGTTCATATTTGAGTATTTTAAGTGGAAAACAAAATATATAAAAAGGACATTCATAGTATTATTGTGTTCCTGGGGGTGTGTTTCTTATAGAAGTTATAAGAAAGAAAAAAAAAAGGCATTCTTACTATGATCACATTATCAATGAAACCACACTTATTTTATTAGATTAAAATATTTACAATCCTCATATTAAATAATAGGTCATGTATAAAGGATTCTCTGTGTACTACCCAAAATCCTGAACAAATTTAACATAGCATGAAATCTTGCAAGATGTAAAATAATTTTTTAAAAAAGGTATTTGCTAACAAAAACAAGTGGGGAAAGGATTCCCTATTTAATAATGGTGCTAGGATAGCTGGCTAGCCATATGCAGAAAACTGAAACTGACCCCTTCTTTACACCATATACAAAAATCAACTCAAGGTGGATTAAAGACTTAAGTGTAAAACCCAAACTATAAAAAAACCTAGAAGAAAATCTAGGTGATACCATTCGGGACACAGCACAGGCAAAGATTTCATGACAAAGATGCCAAAAGCAAATGCAACAAAAGCAAAAATTGACAAATGGTATCTAATTAAACTAAAGAGCTTCTGCACAGCAAAAGAAACTATCAACAGAGTAAACAGACAACTTAGAGAATGGGAGAAAATTTTTGCAATTTATCCATCTGACAAAGGTCTAATATCCAGCAATTATTATGAAGTTGAAAAATTATACCATCCCTGAAGTGAAAGGCATTGATGTCTCTGCTCTTTTCATTTTATATTACACCTTTAGCTCCCAAATATTTAAAGACTCTGCTCATAAAATCTGCCCACAATCCTTTTTGATAAGAATCATGTAGTTCCTTGTTAAGGAACTTAAACAAATTTACAAGAAAAAACAAACAGCCCCATTAAGAAGTGGGGAAAGGACACAAACAGACAATTCTTGAAAGAAGACAATACATGTGCCCAAGAAATATATGAAAGAAAAAAAAAGCTCAACATCACTGATCATTAGAGAAATGCAAACTAAAGCCACAATGAGATACCATCTTATACTAGTCAGAATGGCTATCATTAAAAAGTCAAAAAACAACCTGGCAAGGTTGTGGGGAAAAAGGAACGCTTTTACACTGTTGGTAGGAGTGTAAATTAGTTCAACCATCGTGGAAGATAGTGTGGTGATTCCTCAAAGACGTAGAGGCTGAAATACCACTTGACCCAGCAATCCCATTACTGGGTATATACCCAAAGGAATATAAATCATTCTATTATAAAGATACATGCATGCATATGTTCACTGCAGCACTGTTCACAATAGCAAAGACATGGAATCAACCTAAATGCCCGTCAATGATGGACTGCATAAACAAAATGTGGTACTTATACACCATGGAATATTATGCAGCTATAGAAAGGAATGAGATGATTTCCTTTACACGGACATGGATGGAGCTGGAAGCCATCATCTTCAGTGAACTAACACAGGAACAACAACAACAACAAAAACAAACACCACGTGCTCTCATTTATAAGTGGGAGCTGAATCATGAGAACACATGGAATGGAACAACATACACTGGGGCCTGTTGGAGGGTTGGGCGTAGGAGGAGGCAGAGCATCAGGAAAACAGCTAGTGGATGCTGGGCTTAATACCTAGGTGACGTGATGACCTGTGCAGCAGAGCATCATGGCACACGCTTACCTATGTAACAAATCTACATATCCTGCACATGTACCCCGAACTTAAAAGGTAGAAATCAAAAAAATTTAAAAAAGAAGGTATTTAGTTTAAAATCAATTTCTAAATGCCAATATTATAATTAAATAATTGCTGACACTCTATATGATAGTCTAAACAAACTACCTGAGAACTGAAGGCCAATTCTTCCGAACTAGAAGTAACTTGGTTAAGAGTTTTCACATGTTTATCTATATCTGCTCTAGATAGTTTAGCTCTGGGGTGCCAAATAATTTGAATACACCTGAGTAATCATATTGTTTGTGGTGTGACACTTATGTCTCTGTTTTCATTAGAAGATAATGAAAGTGATTAATTATAAATCTCAAGAGAAAAGGAAAGAATAAGCCGGTCAACTGATGGTAAGAATAAACATTATTTATAAAAAATAACTATATAGAATATCCAGAAAAGGATATAATTAATGTGTGTAAACAGATAATAATAATAATTTTGAGAGTCATTATATGTCAGGTACTGGCCTAAAAACTTTGCAGTATCATACCATTTAATTGTCATAACCCTATTAAGTAGGAATCATTATTATCCTCATCTTAAAGATGTATAAGCTGGATCTTAAAGTGGTTAGGTGTTAGTAAAGTGCCAGAGCTGGAATCTTAGGTTGATTTGATTCCAAACTTAATGCTTTTAAGTACCAAATTCTAGTGTTAAAAAATAGAATTAAAGGCCAGGCGCTGTGGCTCACACCTGTAATCCCAGCACTTTGGGCGGCCGAGGCGGGCGGATCACGAGGTCAAGAGATCGAGACCATTCTGGCCAACATGGTGAAACCCCATCTCTACTAAAAGTACAAAAAAAAAATTAGCTGGGCATGGTGGTGCTCACCTGTAGTCCCAGCTACTCAGGAGGCTGAGGCAGGAGAATTGCTTGAACCCAGGAGGCGGAGGTTGCCGTGAGCCAAGATCGCGCCACTGCACTCCAGCCTGGCGACAGAGCAAGACTCCGTCTCAAAAAAATAGAACATTTAATGACTACTCATTAGTTTAAAAATAAAATACTAAGTAGGTCATTTCGGCAGAAAGATATTTAATTACATAAAAACATTCATTAGTTTCAAAGTACACACTAACTGTAACACCACATCGGTGATACACTTTATAACCATTTTGAGGTTTCTACAAGAAATCCTAAAAAGACAAAGAACCCAAGCAATAAGAAAAAGATCAATTAAAAATGAAAAACATGGCATTTAGCCACACATATTCTCCAGTTTATAACAGTTGATACCCAGTAGTGAAGACAGAATAGAGCTCTTGACTCACATAAGACTAAGTATTCTGTGTCTCTTAATTTAGAATATCTAGAGAATAATTTACCTACAGGGGTATCACCTGTTGTGTGAATGTGGCTGATACATAATATTTTGTCACTCTGGATCCTTGTATCACTAAATGCCTAATCCAGATGCTTCTGACTGGTTCCCTGAGATTTAAATGCAGAATTCACTTTCCTACAGAAACAATGTAATAAATAATAAGGCATAATTGACAATCACATTAGTACTGTAACTAGGCATGTTTTAAATTAAATATGCTTTTTGAGAATTCTGAATTTATAATTAAAACAAATTTCAAATGTAACTCACTGTTGGTTGAAAACTGCCTCAAGCCTAAACTTAATTAGCCACAAATTACTGAAATTCCTGCATTATTAGCCTCAAAATAGCATGAGACTGAGGTAACACTTCCCCTGCTGATCTGAAAGTGCACCTTAAAAATTTCACCTTTTTCTATTAGTATTTTCTCACCATTCAACACAAACCTTTATAAAAATACTTACCCAACTTAGTATTTCCAAGACAATCTTACTTCAGCATTGGGATTAGGATAAACAATCACGACAATCTTCAGTCTTAAACACCAGCCAGTTGTTTTCAAACATTACTCCTATTCTATATACAGGCAACAGAGTCTTCTGGTTTGGAGCAAAATAATGGAAACTTCTTAACTCCTAAAATTAATAAAAGTATTTTAAAAGCTTTAACATTTGTATTTTCTAATTATGTTGTTTTTCTTATGTCAGGAAAGTATCTCTTGGCAATAGGAGAACAAAGTTTTGCTTTCCACTTGGTATTGACTTGGTGTCGAAAATAAGAAACGTTACGTGAAAATAAGTTTTTGTCCAGTGGATAAAATCATAGTGCTAAGCTGATTGAGATTTTTCAGAGTCCATTTTTTTTCTTTTTACTTGTTTAATAATAAAGGAATTCCATATTCTGTTGTCAATAGACATTTAGAGATTTAGTGCTGCATTAGAAATTAAAATGTCTCCAAAAATTAAGGATATGCACAAAGATTTAGTTTTAAGAATGTGAATCTATTTTGAAACCAATCTGTTAAAGTTCCAAAAAGAGTTAACGGTTCTCTTCAAAAGCACAATCTATGTCCATTTGGTATGTCTGCAATGTTTCCATAGTGTAACAATATCCTGTGTACTTTACACAATGAAAATTAGAAACTACACAGACATCCAAGAATTGGGAAATAATTAAATAAGATATGCATGTGACAGCATATAATAGAATATCCAGCCAGTAAAAGCTAAGATATTCAGTTCAAATTAAATAAGCAAGTCACAAAATAGTGTGTACAGTATAATCCTGTTTTTGTTTTAGAAAATGTTTACATGTGCAGTGGAATGGTTATGGTTGGTTCAACCGTAGTTCACACTTTTTCTACATTAATTTTGTAATAAAATTTTTTTTCTTCTCAGAATAATTTAAACTGTTTCAGATCAGAGTGCATATGCTACCTTATTAAATTTACAACAAAGAAAAAAAAGAATGGTGGGTATAGGACAAACAACTCTAGACTGACTTGGATTGTGGTTGGAGTTGGAAGCTGGAGTCTAAAGTCAAATTATATCTGACCACCATGTCAAATTGGCAAGTAACTGACATCAAATCATGAGATTCAACACTTTTTGTAACCAATTTTGTTAAAATTCCAGAGAATTTTTGTTGGGGGACAATTCTCCCTGCGTCTCTGGTGGTTGTGCATGTCTTACTGACTGCTCTTTCCTCTATTGTTTCAAGGATGTTTGTACAGTGGACAGCCTTGAGAAGCATGCTTATTTGTCCAAATGATAAAGATCTGGGTTCCCTAAGCTCAGGGCTGCTTTCCTGTAATTCGACATACTCTACATCTAGGTGACTTCTTGCCCACTTTGCATTATCCTGTGGGAACTGGGGCTTTAGGGAACTCAGGCAAAATTGCTGATATACTGGCTACTGCTGGGAGTAATTCATTCCTGAAACGAATAGTCTTCTGTCTTCCATGAAACTGCCAGGCTAAGTTAGCCTGCAAACAGAGTAAAATCTCTGTTCCTTTCCAGTTCTTGACACTTTGGTACTGCAAGCTCCGCCTCCCGGATTCACGCCATTCTCCTACCTCAGCCTCCTGAGTAGCTGGGACTACAGGCGCCCCCCACCACGTCCGGCTAACTTTTTTTGTATTTTTGGTAGAGACAGGGTTTCACCGTGTTAGCCAGGATGGTCTCCGTCTCCTGACCTCGTGATCTGCCTGCCTCGGCCTCCCAAAGTGCTGGGCTTACAGGCGTGAGCCACCGCGCCTGGCCCCCAGTTCTTGACTTTTTAAGGTATGCTTCCAAAAACCTACCAGCGCTCTATGTGCACAAACTAATTTATGTCTACAAATATTTTCTTAATTATTCCATACTTACCAGCATTATTACGTGGAACATCTGATAGAAAACCTAAAGAAAAATAGCACGACTGTGTGTTAGGACGTTCGTTATTAAAAATCTTTTTGTTCTTTCACTTTGAGAGACTCCAGTTTGGTGCATTATGTGTACACATCAGAGCCAACTTGTTAGTAATGAAGTTATCTGTACATCAATGTATTAGAAAAGGATCTTTTGAAACCAAACGCGCAGCTACTCCTAACAGATTTCTGTGGTCCTGTATTTACCAAGAAATTTAAAATATCTCAAAGGTCCTAACATAAATGTTCTAAGCATATCATTAAGTTTTAACATTCCTATTTTTTAAAAACTTGGCCCCATCTAGTCCTGACCATGCCCCAGAAACCAAAGGATTAAAAAAACGGCGTTTATGTCAGCGAATCCGCGGGTTTTTATAGTTAAGGAAGGGCTTTGCTCCTCACATTCCACCCGCGAGGAGATCGGGGACACACACACCACGCCTAGGCCTCGCGCGCTCACACACCTGCCGGCTCCACCCCGAGGGTAGGCATTGGACCCAATCGGAGGTCGTTCCCCGTGGAGCCCGCAGCAGGGGAGGATGGGAGTAGCAGGCAGGGCGGGGGTCCACGGGCTTCTCACTGACCCAGGCCCGCCGTCGGCAGCCGCCCCGGCGCCTGTGACGCTCCTGCGGGTTCAGTCCTTTGGCCTCGCCCCACGCCTGCCGGCTGGGCAGCCCCACTCACAAGCCCAGCTCGCAGGCGCGGGCGCAGGCGCAGGCGCCTCTCTTGTCGAGCCCGACCGCCAACTGCAGCGCCTTCCTTGTTCCTCGGCGACGGCTGGCGTCACTTCCGGCGGCGTTGCCAAGCAACCGCATGGTTCGAGTAACAACGTCCACCGGCTGGAGTCCGCGGCGCATGGCGCTACAGTCACTTTTCCAGATCTGGGCGCACCGTGGACACCTCGTCAGAGATGCTGGTACGGTTTGGACGACGCTGTGGACAGGCGAAGGAAAGTACAGGTGAGCTACACTGACCTATCCAGGGACAGGGATTGTTTCTGGACCCTCGGCATGGAGTGAGAGGCGAGGATGCCGAATGAGGGCTTCAGCTGCTTTTTGAAATGGACTCCATCAAGTCGAAAGCATCCTCAATAAGCATCTTTGGGCTCTGTGTAAAGTTAGGCCATCTTGCCCTCAGGTGAATGGATGAAGGAGGGAAACGGGGAGTGGAAGTGGGTGGGAGAATGTTTACAGAAATAGGGGTGGATAAAAGATAGGAAATCAGAGACCCCCCCACCCCCAGCTAACCTAAAACTGCGCAGTTGCAGCTCTGAGAGTCTGGGCTTTGTTAAATTTCCGGCACGCTTAAAGTTTGTTATTCACTGATTGAATTGGACTATCTCTTGGAAATATAAGTCCCCTCTTTAGAGTCTTGGCTCTGCTGCAAACTTGCTGATTGGTCTTTACTAAAAGTCTCTGAAGGAAATTCTCCATTTCCTCCTCTCTAAAGTAATATAAGGTCTCTCTCTAAGTCAAATGCTTGCATAGAGTTAAAAAAAAATCGTGCGACATAAAGTATTGTAATTCAGATGACCTGTTATAACAATTTGATTTTGGAATAGAAATAGACTTCTAAAGAACTCTATCAATTCTAGCTACGACAGTTTCTAAAGTCTGTAAATTGGCAATTAATGTAGTCATGGTGACAACTAGAACTTTGGCAGTTTGAAGTATCTTCATGTCATTGCCCGAACTTCTGTAGCAATAGTGCCCCCTGCACCAGATGCAGAGTGAGAGCCAGTCATTCTTCACTAGTGGATATTTATGCAGTGGAGGTTTCATGAGGTTAGCAGCGGACTTTTGCCATGTAAAAGGAAAGAAACAGTATCAATATGGCAAGTATTGGAAAAGCACAGTTACTCCCACATATTCACTTTCCTGCATATGCATTTCTGCACTACCTGGTTTAGATTTACCTAATAGTTGTTAAATAATGTTTTGTGTCAACTAGCTCACAAGCTTCCATCCGAGCCTCGCTGCTAAATTTTAATCTCCATTTTTAGGGGAAGGCTAAGTAGGAGAGGGTTTCAGAGATGTGTGCAACTATTTGTAAAACAAATACTTTATCAAGATTTAGTGGGGTGACATCAGCCAGAATAGTGAAATAGGATCTATGCCTGAAATCCTGTCCTCCATAAAATCAACAAGAACAGTGGCAAAAATAATCCGTATCGACTTTTTCAAAACACTGGAAATTAACCAAAGGCTTGCAACAATATGTGGAGTGTTTACTAAAGAAAAACAGCTGGATTTTTGTAACAACAGTGAGGTTTTTGGCATTTTAACTTGCCATAGTCCTATACTTTTCTCCTAGCCCCATGGCAGCCTAGATAACCACAGCAATCACAGTGAAAAATACTGACTTAACAACTTGTAGAGGGGACAAAACAGAATTTGACCCACTCCAAAGCCAGACAACTGTTATTATTCGACATGTCTCATAGTTCCTTGGAGAATCTCACTCATGAGGCTTATTGTTATTTAGTCTGACTTCAGACTCACCAAGTATGTTTGTCAAATGATCAGTGGCAATTTTAAATATCACAGCTATCAGAGGCAGTGCTATAGTTTTAATGTGTCCTCTAAAAAGCATATGTGGGAACTTAATCCCCAATGTAAAAATGTTGGGAGGTAGGGACTAATGAGAGGTGATTAGGCCATGAGAGCAGAGTAAAGGGATTAATGCCATTATCTGGGGAGTGGGTTCATTATAAAAGTGGGAAGGTTGGCCCTCTTCTCTCTCTCTCTCTCTCTCTCTCTGTGCGTGTCTGTCTGTTGCCCTCTCTTTGCCCTTTTGCCATGTAATGCCTTCCATCATGTTATGATGAGGCACGAAGGCCGCTGCCAGATGCTGGCACCTTGATACTGGCTTTCTCAGCCTCCAGAACCATAAGCCAATAAATATCTATTCTTTATGAATTACCCAGCCTAAGGTATTCTGTTATAACAGCATGAAACAGGCAGGCAGTGATACAGTTGGCAGGCAAACAACACGCTGACCAAAAAACTTAAAAGGATCAGCTGGAAAGTGATTATGTCCATAGGGGGTTTTGGAAAACTCCTGACATATTCCTGGGAATCTAGAAGGCCAAATGCATGCATAGAGCTACATACATGCCCAGGAAAGACCTGAAAATGCCTCTCACCTATGACTTACCTTGAGACTCTGTTTAAGAAAGAAGTAAAAGCTAAGATGGAGTTGTAAATTGCCTGCCCGAGCATTGAAGGCATGCCTTAATGCTCATAGACAGTCCCTTGGCAAAGACTGGGAGACTTGTCAGTTCCAGTCATCCAAAGATATATCTGTCTAGTTATTAGCTGACCACTAAGCAAACCAGAGACTCCAGTGACTCCAGTGGTCACATGTGACAAAGAATACAGACTACAGAATTGGTTCAGAGAAGTCATGAAACAACAACAGCAGGAATAAGAAACTTTGGGTGTATGTGGAGATCTGATTTCCAGAGTTGAAACATATATGTACGGTTTTTAATAAAAATTATGAAAGATGAAAATAAATAAAGTATGACCCAAACATAAGAAAAAGTTTCAGTAGAAAGTGTCTTTGAAATGGACTCCACCAAGTTGAAAGCATCCTCAATAATCATCTTTTGGCTCTGTGGAAGTTAGGCCATTTTGCCCTCAGGTGAGTGGGTGGAAGAGGGAAAGGGGCTATGGAAGTGGCAGGGAGGATGTCTACAGAAGCAGGGGTGGAGAAAAGGTAGGAAATCAGAGACCCCCCCAACTGACCTAAAACTGTGCAGTTGCAGTTGTTGTAAGCCCAGATGTTGGACTTACTAGATAAAAACTTTTGTAAATTTATAGCTATTGTAAATATATTTAAAGAACTCAAGCAAAAGTCTAAAGAACTATAGAAAAGTATTAAGAATGTTGTCTTACCAAATAGAGGATATCAATGAAGATTTTAAAAAATTATAAAAAGGAACTGAACAGAAATGTTGGAGTTGAAAAGCACAATAACTGAATTTAAAAATTCACTAGAGGGATCAATAGCAGATTTGAACTTGTGGAAGAAATAATCAGTGAACTTGAAGATAAGCCAATTGAGATTATTCAGTCTCAGAATAGTGAGAAAGAAAAAAAGATAAAAGAATGAAGAAGCCGGGCGTGGTGGCTCATGCCTATAATCCCAGCACTTTGAGAGGCTGAGACGGGCAGATCACGAGGTCAGGAGATCAAGACCATCCTGGTTAACACGGTGAAACCCCGTCTCTACTAAAAATACAAAAAAAAATTAGCCAGGCGTGGTGGTGCATGCCTGTAGTCCCAGCTACTCAGAGGCTGAGGCAGGAGAATGGCGTGAACCCAGGAGGCAGAGCTTGCAGTGAGCCGAGATGGTGCCACTGCACTCCAGCCTGGGCGACAAAGCGAGACTCCATCTCAAAACAAAACAAAACAAAACAAAACAAAAAGAGTGAAGAAAAACGAGCAGATCTTCAGGGAAATGTAGGTCACCAGCAAATATGCCAACATAAATGTAACTTGAGTTCTGGAAGGAAAAGAGCAGGGAAAGGGGTAAAAACATTTGAAGAATTAATGGCTAAAAGCTTTCCAAATTTGATGAAAAGCATTACACATTCAAAAGGCTCAGTGATCCTCTAAGTATGGTAAACTCAACTCAAAGAGATCCACAGCTGTACACATCATGATCAAACTGTTGAAAGCTAAAGACAGTCTTGAAAGCACAAGAGAGAAATGACATTACATAAAAGGAATCCTCAATAAGATTAACAACAAATTTCTTATAAGAAATTATGGAGTCCAGGGGCAGCAGGCTGATATATTCAAAGTACTGAAAGGAAAAGTCTTCAAGAATTCTTTTTTTTTTTTTTTTTTTTGAGATAGAGTCTTGCTCTTGTCACCCAGGCTGGAGTGTAGTGGCATGATCTCAGCTCACTGCAACCTCTGCCTCCCAGGTTCAAGTGATTCTCCTGCCTCAGCCTCCTGAGTAGCTGGGATTACAGGCACCCACCACCACGCCTGGCTAATTTTTGTACTTTTAGTAGAGACGGGGTTTCACCATGTTGGCCAGGCGTGTCTCAAACTCCTGACCTCAGATGATCCCACCTTCAGTTATTAATTGAAAAAATTATCACAAAGAAAAACTGAGGACCAGATGGCTTCATTGGTTAATTCTAAATGTTTAATGAAATATTAACATAAATCCTTCAAAATCTTTTTAAAAAATAAAGAAGAGGAAGGAGCACTTTCCAACTCATTCTATAAGGGCAGTATTACCCTGATACCAACAGCAGACAAAGACATCACAAGAAAACTATAGATCATTATCTTTTATGAATAGAGATGCAAAAATCTTCAACATAGTTTTAGCACATCAGCTAGATGTGGCACACACCTCCCAGCTACTTGGGAGGCTGAGGTGGGAGGACCACTTGAGGCCAGGAATTTGAGGCTGTAATGTGCTATGGTCACACTTGTAAATAGCCACTGCACTCCAGCCTGGGCAATATAGCAAGACCCCATCTCAAAAAATAAGTTAATTAATTAAATAAAATACTAGCAAACCAAATCCAGCAACATATAAAAATTATTATATACCATGACCAAGTGGTATTTATCCCAGGAATGCAAGGTTGGCTTAAAAACAATTAATGTAGTACACTGTGTAAATAGAATAAAGAACAAAACTACATGATTATCCTAATAGAAAAAACATTTGACAAGTCCAACATTCCATTTATGATAAA